TACTGGAGTAACACTCGGACATAGTGCTGGAGTAACAGTGCTGGGCCGTCTGGCGCAGTGACCCCACACTGTAATAATGCTGAGCCAAGGTACTAGAGTAACACTCGGACAAAGTACTGGAGTAACAGTGCTGGGCCGTCTGGTGCAGTGACTCCACACTGTAGTAATGCTGAGCCAAGGTACTGGAGTAACACTGTTGTGCTGGCTGCGGTAATGACCCCAAATACCGTCACACCCCCAGCCTGCTGCAGTCCTGGGTCCCCAGTACTGGAGAAGGGGCCTGTGGTTGAGGCCCCACTCTGAGGAATGGGGTCAGTGGGATCAACACAGCTGCCTGCGCCCCTCACAACTGTTAAACGGCCCCAGAGAGCTGAGGGGCTGCTCCCGGATTAGCCCCATGGATCCCCCCTGCCCCTCAATTGGCCCTGCCTGGCGGGGGGGGGGTCCTTCAGCGTCAAATGTTGAATGATTTGTGCCCCCATGGATTCTCTTCCGAGGCACACGTGTATTGTCTTCTGGGCCCTACTGAAAATTCGAACCCCACGTAGGCGCCTCTTGGTGGGGCTGAGACGAGGCAGAGAGCGTGTGCACATGCAGGGAGAGGCGTGAGGCACCCGTAGCTCTGTGTGCGTTACAGTCTGTGCAGCCCCTCACACGGACGGAGCTCCCCTGCTACAAACAGGCCCCTCCGCTGTCCCTGTCCCTTTAAATCAGGTGAGCACTGGACCAGCATCGCCAGCCAGGCTGTCCAGTCTCTGGTATCAGATCCTCCTGCCGGGAGGGGGGCTTGGCTCTTATTTAAAGTGACTGACCAGCCAACTCAGGCTCACTCTGCCAGAGCGCTGAGCCAGCCGGCTGTGCAGGGGAGCCCAGGTGAGCCCAGGGGCCGGGCGGCTGTTCAGGTGGGGCCCAGGTGAGCCCGAGGCCTGGTGGCTCTACAGGAGTGAAGGGCTACAGGCAGTGATTCCCTCCAGAGGGGTCACCCCTGCTCTGATCTGGCCCCCTTTGCTCCGGTTGGAGCAGGGCTTTTCTAGTGGGGCCAGCAGCTGTCTCCCAGCTCTGGACACAGCCAGGCAGGTGGAGACCAATAGCCCTGGGTCAGAGCTTGCTTTGTGCGGGAGGTGGGGACACAAACCTGTTTGTGCCACAGGCGCCCTCTGACCCCTCAGCTCCGCAAGGGCCCTGGCTGGGGCAGAGGGGAGCAGTGGGCAGGGACAGGAAGGCCCCCCCGGGCAGGTGCCACTGCTGCCCCAAAAGTTTCCCTGCGGGACTGATCCTGCCCTGCCCCCCGTGGACCCTGTTCATCCTTCCCCGGCACCTCGCGTAGGCCTTTCCGCCACAGCAAACCCTGTGGCACGAGAACGGGGCTGACCCCCACGCGGCGTCGGGCAGGGGGGTCTCCTGGCCCAGTCCCGGCGCGTGGCTCTTTGGTGGCCTGGATGCCAGCCAGGTTCCCAGCAGGCAGGCGCGCCCATCCCCAGAACCGCCACCACTCCTCGGCCCCACGTTGGCAGCCTCTGTGAAGAGACCAGGGGCCGGCTGGGCCCCACAGGCCACTCTCCCCACCCGTGGGTCCCTCCAGGCACGCTGGCAGGGTGGGGCTGTGCCCTTCCCCCGCCCCCCATCCGCGCCACCCGGGGTCCGGGCTCCTCAGTCCTTCGAGGTGCTTCTTGCAGAGCCGGCGCGATGGCCTCTGAGCTGGAGCGCGCCATGGAGGGGCTGATCGCCGTCTTCCACAACTACTCGGGCAAGGAGGGCGACAAGCGCAAGCTGAGCAAGAAGGAGCTGAAGGAGCTGCTGCAGACGGAGCTGGGCTGCTTCCTGGAGGTAGGGACCAGCCCCGGGGGCGGGAGCAGGCAGGCTTAGGGGACCGCCCCAGGCACTGGGCACCCCCGCCATTCCAGCACAGGGACCCCTGGGCCGGCGCTCCCCCGCGGGCCTGGCCTCCCTTCTCGGGAGTGGTCGCCAGCGGCAGAGCCATGCCAGGGCCCGGGGCAGGACAGTTGTTCCCTCGGGCTTGGGCCGGAGAAGGTTCCCACATGCCCGGCGCTGGCCTCCCAGCCCCTCCCAGGCTGACGGGTCTCTCTGGTATGAAGTCTCCCAACATTCCTCTCTAAAGTCCCTGGCTCCTAATTGCTTCTCCTCCCCCACTGCAGCTCTAAGCCTTCCCCTCCCCGCTGACCCCTGCCTTCTCCTCCCCCAAACTAGGGCCTCTCCCATCCAGGGCCAGGCAGATAGCCCACGCCTCCAGCTTCCCACTCACTCTCTCTGGGGGCCTCTCACTGGGGACCCCCCCAGCCGCCTGGGCCCCTTTCCTCTCCCATAGGGGTAGCCCCCTTCCCTGGGCCGCACGTGCTAACCCTGCCTCCCCCGGGGGTGTCTCCGCTGCAGACCCAGAAGGACGCGGGCACCGTGGATGGCATCATGCAGGACCTGGATGAGAACGGCGACGGGGAGGTGGATTTCAAGGAGTACGTGGTGCTGGTGGCCGCTCTCACGGTGGCCTGCAACGCCTTCTTCTGGGAAGACACCTGAGCGGGGAGCCTGCACCGCCTGGAGCCCCCTAGAGCTGCCCATCCCGCCCCCCATTCTGAGCCAGCCGCCGGCGTCCCCTCTAACCAGCTAGACAGAGCTACTCATTAAAGGCACCAAACCCGCCCCAGTGTCCCGCCCCTTCCTCTGAGCCTGGGAGTGACGCTGAGCAGCGTGGGGAGGGGGACACTGCTGCAGTGGGGCTAGGGGAGTTTTGGGGTGAGGGGGAGCTCCTGGTCCCCAGATCGACATTATCCCCGGTGTTAGCAAAGGGTGGAGGCCATGCCGTGGGGCTGGGCTCAGGGCCCTCAGCCTCGGGGGTTCCCTGGGGGGCATGAGCCATCCATTTCCAGGACAGTGCCAGGTGAAGGAGAGTCGCTCCTCCGGTCACCCCAGCCACCAGCGAGACACACACCCCTTCGCTCTCCACACCCCTCCCCACCGGGCCTCTCGGACCCTCCTCCTCTGACCCATGAGCCAAGCAACTGCCCCCGTCCCCAGGCCTTGTTCCTTCGCTTGCCCCCGCCTCAGTGCTGGGAGCGCAGGCCGTACGCTCTGGTGTAACCCAAGTGCCTCAGCCGGGATCACTGCTAGTTTGGCCCTTTCTCTTCCCACATTCATGCCCATTCGTAGCTGGCACCACATGGCACAGGGCCCACCAGGCGGGATCCCTGCCCCAAGCAGGCCGGTCTCTGTAGGAAAGGGAGGCAGGAGCGGAAACGGGGACACAAGGGGGATGGCTGGGAAAAGGGGCAGGAGAAGCGCGGGTGACAAGGGGTGGCTGGACAGCCTCCTGCTGGGGTGGTAGGAAATTCACAAACACGGTGCTGCACCCATTCCCCAGGGGGAAGAACCCGTTCCTAGCTCCCTTCCCAAGGGCCGGGCGCAGCCAGGAGCCCAAGAAACAGCCTCCTCTGACTGGTACCGGCTGTGCCACTGAGCTGCACGCAGAGCGGGGAGTGCCACCTTGTGGGCCTAGCGGGGCTGACACGGAGCGGATTTGACACTTCTCTGGGACGGGGCCAAAGCACTTTGCAAACTAGATACCGATGCTGCTGAGCTGCAGCCACCTCGGGGGTGGAGGGTGGTCATCTGTGCACAACAGTCAGGAACAGAGGGGAAGAGCCTAGACAAGGATAAGGCGGGGAGAGGGAATCTTTAGGAAGAATGCCCTGGCATCATTAATGTCTGTGCAAAGCTGACGGGAGCTCAGCATTGACAAGCTCGTCAGAGGCAACCAAACTGCGCAGAGATTGATGTGTCTGCGAGCAGAAAGCAAAAGGACTGGAGAGAATCGGGTGGGATTTGAACCTGTGAACCCAAAGAATCTGATGCTGAGCTCTGGCACCCTCCGTTCTCTGAGGCATGTTCTCATCTTCCCTTCCCACCTTTGCAAAAGAGAAGCTCGAAGCCTGTGATGCAGAAAACGGCATCAACCCCCTGGCAGCAGATAATAAACTGATCTGTCACAGCCACAGAGACAAACCCACCACATTTCAAGGGAACACACGTACTCGGTGGGATGTGATAGTTCTCTGACAACAACGTAAGCTAGGAGTAAACCCACTGCAGTCAGTGGAGTTATGGAGCAGGAGAATCAGGCCCACTAAGCAAGAAAGAACGTGATGAGCCAGTCAAGGGCTTGTTTAAAATGTCTTTTTAAATTGTTTTTCCATAGTGAAAGCGATATTAACCGTGATCCCCAAGGCAGTGTTGCCAAGTACGGTGATTTTATCATAAGCCTCCTGATATTTGGTGTTTTTCTTAAAGTCCGGCTCCTGGAGTTACGAGATGGCAGGACGCTCTCAGCTTTCATTTACAGACAAAAATCCTGGGGGTTACGGAGAAAAGCTGGAGAATGTGAATCAATGCAACCCTCAAGGCTCCAGAACCGGCAGGGAAATAGAAAGAACCTCACGTTGATTATGTTTTAAAATCTCGGCATTTTTAATCCACTCTCGTGATTTTTTGAGGGCTGACTCACGATTTTTGAAAGCTTGAGGTTGGCGCTAATGCTGCGTGTGTAACGCACACGACATTCTTCACCACAGCCGCTTACTTCCGCAAATACAAAGCCACAAGCACAGTAGCGGATGCATTCTCTCCAGTGCACAAATCTTGATTAGAATCCGATGGTGCCACTGCCAGCTGAAGTAACAGAGCGCCGGAGCGCTGAAGTCTGCCCTCTGCAGTGCTGGTGCACATGTGGAGTCATTCAATGGGGAGCAACATCCATGTGAGTGAGCCTTATTGTCTTTTTCTTAGTTTTTACCATTTTTCTGCCAGTTCCACCCCCTTGGCAGGCCCAGAATGGTAAATGGGCTGGCACCTTTGCAAGCTGAGACTTTCTCCTGATGGTTGGCATCTCATGCACTACATTCGAAGCCTTCACTTTAAATAAACCCACGTCGTTTCGAAGAAACACTCCATTCATGGTGTGCAGGTTAACAGATGCATCGACCTGCGCCTCTGCAGACAGCCTGAGCTCTGGGAGATGTCAGCTGTCCAGTTGACACAGAAGCGGGTTTGTGTCAATGCTGCTAGCTGGTTTGCTGCTGAGCCGAGGAGGCTGGAGGAATTTCATATTAGACAGAACTGTACAATCAACTGGACTTATTTTGGTGTCATGAGCGGGCAGGGCTTGGGCCAAGGACTTCTGACCCCTGAGCCGGGTAGGGTGAAGGGCCACAATCAGATAGATAACTCACAGGAAGTGCGGGCTTCATCCACTCAGCATGCTAATTACCCAACCCCGAGGGATCCCCTTATGGGAGCCCGAGGGGGAGTTCAGTCCCTGAGGCCTCTGCTGATGGTCGCTATGACCTGAACATGGACCTAGAGCGAGATCCTAACCCTGCCCCTCGACCCTCACACAGAAGCAGCCACGCGCTGGAACGGCTTTGGGGGCATGGCCAGACCCGTCACTGAGCAGGGTCCGGAGGCAGTTCTCCCAGCCCACCGCCCACCCTGCAGGGCAACTGCTGCTGCCAGGTTATCCCAGCCAGAGCTGGGGAGCCCCGCATACCCAGCTGCTTCCAGAGGGGCCAAACCCCAGGACTCCCACAACTGGGCTCCCTCCACCCAGCCCAGGCCTCACCCCCACCTTGGGGCCACACTCCCTGCCCCCCCTTCCAGCCCAGGGTACCCCCCAGCTGCACTGGGGCCTGAGCTGCACTCCCTCAGGCCTGGGGCCCTGCCCTCTGCCCCAAGTGCCCCCTATATCCCAGCCTGCCCCCCCACTCCAATACAAGGCTTTGCCCATGAGGCCCTCCCAGCCTCTGCCCCAAGCCCCCCCATATCCCAGCCTGACCCCACCCCTGGGGCCCTCAGAGCCAAAGCTCCGCCCATAAGGCCCTCCCAGGCCCCGCCCTCTGCCCCAAGTCCCGCCCCCAACTGCCCCCTCCCGAAAAGGGAGTGGTCACATGGCTCAGCCCCCCCCCTCCGGGGGAGGGAAAGAGAAGGAGTGATCACGTGGTGCAAGGCCCCGCGAGGGGAGAGCGGAGTCACGTGGGCGCGTTCTCGCGGCTGCGCAAAACGCGGCGGCCGGTCGCCATTTTCCCCGGCTCGGCGCGCAGGGGGAGTAGGGAAGGAAGCGGCGGCCATTTTGTTTTCGGCGCTCGAGAGCGAGTGCAGCGGGGAGCGGGCGGAGGGGACGGAGCCCCACGGAGCCAGCCCTGCGCCCCACCCCCGCCCCGCAGCCCCGCCCGGAGTCCTGGCGACCGTCTGCTTCGGTGACCGAGGGGCCCTGGGGGGAGGCGGGGGGCCCGGTGTGGGGAGGAGGGGTCTGGCCCCGGCCCGGCGAGCCCTCCCTTGAGCGGAGCCGGCGGGGCCCGGGTCAGGGTCACGGCTGGGACAGGCGAGCCAGGCCGGGGTGAGCTGGGGGGGTCCCGGCTGGGGGCCCCGCCGTGCCCCGGTCTGAGAGCCCGGGGCGATCAGCCCAGCAGAACCCCCCCTCTCCCCCCAGCGCTTGGGGCGAGCAGCCTTCCCGCCCTGCGAGCCAGGCGTGGGGCTGAGAACCGGGGGGGGTTGCCTGGGCCAGGCCCCCCCGAAACCCCCCCCCCCCCCCCAGCACTTGGGGCGAGCAGCCTTCCCGCCCTGCGAGCCAGGAATGGGGCTGAGAACGGGGGGGCTAGCCTAGGCCAGGCCAGGCCTCCCTGAACACACACACACATACACACACACACACGTTTGGGGCTAGCAGCCTTCCCGCCCTGGCTCGCTTGCGGGGGGACTAGCCTAGGCCAGGCCTCCCTGAACCCCCCCGTTGTAACCTGCGCTGTGCAGGGGGCTCCAGAGCTCAGGCCTTGCGCCTCATCTCTGTGACTCAAGGCGCTCTGGGCTGAGCTCCCTGCATTAGGTGTGTTACTAATAATAACGCTGCGTGGCTGGCGCGGGTCCGAACTTCCCTCGGGGATAGATTCCAGCCTCCCTTGGGGGCCAACATCTTCCTCGGTGGGGCCTGTCCGGGCAGGGCTTCAAAAGGCTCTAACAACGGAGGTCAAATACCAGCTTTGTTGCTATTCTGCTTCCGTGACCACTGGGGTGGGGATTTTTTGTCTGAGAACCATGTGAGGCTCTTCATGAGCTGCCTGTTTAGATGCATCCCAAATCTGAAAATGGACATAACTGTACCGCTGGTCTCAAACAATATCCTTGTCCAAACAAGCGGTGGACGTCAGTAGTGTTGCTGGCTGCTGGTGTAATTCGGCTGCAGCACGGATGGGCCCATAACGGTTCTGTAAAAAGTAGAAATGTTGAATAAGGTTATAATGGGTTTGGTGTTCAGTTGCGGGGCATAGCCCCCTTCCTTGGGCCATCAGCCTAGTGTTTGGCACACCTAATACCTGTGCGGGGACTGCTTGCAGGGGAGGGAGCATTGGCATAATTTGGCTAGGGTCTGACAACGGATGTCACAGTTCCAACTGAGGTAATAACTTGGATAGAGGAAATACTGCATCTAGAGCCTTAATGCCTAATGCAGTGGTTCTCCAACTTTTGTACTGGTGACCCCTTTCACACACCCCTTTATAAATTAAAAACACTTTTTAATATATTTAACACCATTATAAATGCTGGAGGCAAAGCGGGGTTTGGGGTGGAGGCTGACAGCTCGCGACCCCCATGTAATAATCTCGCGGCCTCCTGAGGGGTCCCGACCCCCAGTTTGAGATTCCCTCGGCCTAGTGTATCAGAAACTGAATCCAGAATCAGAAAGATTAATTCCTACTGCTCTCCTGCTTAGAAAAACATAACCTCATTGAAACCAGCCAGTTAGAAACGATCTTCACCAGGCTGTTCATGGCATACAGAGGGGAGATCTTCACTGAAAGTGGAATTTAATGTTCCTGGGGCATTAATCTGACACACAATTGAGAGATGAGATCGCATAACTCACTAGTTTATTGAAACTTGCCTTTTAGGACATTTTGCGATGCCATGAAGTGCACTGCTAGCGCAATCATATCACTGATTTACATGGTTCTTGGCTGTCTCCACACACACAAGTTTGGCTTGGAAAATCTAGCCAAATAATTTCATGGGCTCAGTTCTTCTTACTAAATCTGGCTATTGTTCGTTTCAGACGATCGTGATCTGAAGATGGCTGCGCAGTCAGCGCCGAAGGTTGTGCTAAAGAGCACCACCAAGATGTCTCTGAACGAGCGGTGAGGAAGCCAACAGCAACTTCAGCTCATAAGAAATTTTTACTTAATTGTCACTGTGTCCAGTGTCCAAAACCAACGTGGTTTCTGCCCTGTTTTAACCTAACTAAAAAAAAAAGCAGGTGGCTATGCGCCTCTGTCTTAAGCCGCAACCGATGTGGTACACAAGGTTAAAAGGGCAATTATTTTGGAGGATTTTGTCAGTAGCTGTTAATATTAAACTATATGAGACGTAAATGTGGTGGGATGTCTTATTAAAAAAAGAGAGAGAAACCTCGCACCTCCCTTTTTCTTCCACGTTTTTACATTTTATAGAGTTGCCCCCTGCAGCATGGTAGCATGTTACCGAAGCTGCAGAAGGCTTGCTGCTTTGTCCAAGGGAGACACGCATGTGGTCTGGCCTGTAAGAGGCACGCAGCAGGTCACCAAACCAGCCCAGAGGCCCTTTAACAATGTTCTTGGGCCTTGTAAGAGGCAAATGCTTTGCTTCATCTCCATCGCTTTCCTTTCTTGGCACTGCTTTCTTTTTATTTCCTCTCTTAAAGAGCCTTCCGCTCCTTCATGCCATTAAGCTTTTGCACATCTATAGTGATGAACTAGCAGTGACGCTTCTGATCATATTTCACTTTCTCACTAACTCACTCTCCGATTAAATGTTAATATCATTAAGCCCAGGAGAAATGAAGCCACTTATATGCAGTCCTTATTCCAGTGTGCACTGCAGTGAGCAGTAATCTTAGCCAATGCTTGCGGTTTATGGCCAGGCAGGCAGATAGGTACGGTACAGGGGAGTTACCTGCCTGATAATTGTGTTCGTTCCAGCCAGACCACACTGAGCACTTTGTAGTGCTTAATTTCACTGTCATTTGTAGCTATTAGGATACTGTAGAAACTGATTACTGGTGAGGAAGCTGGTATGTTCATGCCACGTAATTTTTAAAGGCAGAAAATCCCTAATGCACCAAAGAAATTCCCAAATGCCAACTTAATTGTAGTCTAAACGAATGCACTTATATGGTGGCACCTCTTATGGTGATAGAACTGTCCTCCTTATAAGTATTATGCCAGACCCTTGATTTTCTGTTGTCAGTGACACGACTCTCATAAATGTTTACTGCTCTCAAACTATTAAACAGTTTCCCCCCTAAACTATCTGTCTTGGCTTTTGCAGTCAGATTTCAGTTTGCTTTCCTGTTTCTTTGTCATGTCTTCTCCTGTCTCTCATGTCCATTTCTGCTTGTTGCTTGTTTTTCATAACTTCTTCCACCTTTAAAAGCAATAACTTAAAACTTTATCACTTTTGAATTAATATGTTGCACTGATCCAAATCTGCATTTCCTATTCTAGCACGTTTGTGGAAAACGAGGAATACATAACTCGCATATGACATGATCTAAGTGTACCACTTTTTACATAAAGTTCATGGGATCTGGAGCTCCAGTCTTGAGAGCCATGAAATGCCATAAATGTTTGTAATAAAACTTTATTTAAACACCCATTTTGTTCGACCTTGAAGCTTTACTAATATGCTGAAGAACAAACAGCCGATGCCAGTGAATATTCGGGCTACCATGCAGCAGCAGCAGCAACTGGCCAGTGCCAGAAACAGAAGACTGGCCCAGCAGATGGAGAATAGACCTTCTGTTCAGGCTGCCTTGAAGCTTAAGCAGGTGAGAGAAAGTGTCCTATTCCACTGCAGACAGTGGGTGATGCCTGTCAGCAGCTGGTGGCTTTTCAGGATAGGAGAATTTTTCAAGATGTCACTTGAAAGTAAGAGCTGAGAATGTTTGGAGGGACTTCAAGAGAATTTCAGATTGTCACTGCAGATAAGTAATGCTTTATAGCTTGTTAATTAATACTGTTTAGTTCAGTTAGTCTGTCATGTCTTCTGTTGGTTATTGTTTGTTTAAATTTCCTCCTTTGCTATTTTTCCAGAAGAGAGGACAACCTGAAATTTCACAGCTTTTTCCCCTGTCCCCCACAGAAATGGTCTGATTCCAGTTTTCCGGAGCTGCTGAATTCTTAATGCCTTAATCTAGCTTCTGTTGCATTGCAACATATTAGCTCTTGTTCCCTGTTAGTGCCTCTCTTTTTTTTTTTGAGGGGGCGGGGTCTCTGCCTGTTTTTTTCTTGTTTTATGCTATTGTTCAGACAACTGCTGGCAAGAACTACATGAACTAAAACTGAGTTCTTGGTTTCTCGTAAATTCTTGCTAAAGTAACAAGAATCTTACTACTCCTGTTATCCACATAGACTGACTGACCAGAGCTGTATGCTACTGAGCAGCCCAAAAGTTGGCTTCCATTTGAATGTCCAGTGTGGAACAGCAGATCTGAGAAAGGTGTATTCATATTGAGTTGTACATCACATTTAAATAGTGCCTGTGCATTGCTCTGTGCTGAGTGAATGGGGTCTGCTAGATGTGAGCCCCTGTTGATAAGATGGTGATTAGCGTATGGTGCCCGAGAGGCAATTAGCTATGTTACTGGTGCGAAGTGCTTCTTATCAGAGTATCTCAAACTGTAAAGAATGTAACGTGCTGTATAACAGAGCAGAGAGAGACTTGGAGAGTTTCTCTTGAAATTTGTGTACGTATGGTGCATGGAAAACTGGAATTAAAACATGGGTCTGGGGGGTCCTGCTACACTGCTATGTGCTAGCTTTAAATAGCAGCCCTGCATGACTCGAATACAGTGGTCATTAAATACAATCCCAGACATCTTTGGGCACACTAGGAGAGAGCTGTGGAAGGTTCCTATTTGAGCGGCTTCGTCACATCACTGCAATCTTGGTCTGACTCTTGTGCTGGAGTTTGGTGTTTGTTCTTGCATGAAAAGGAATGTAACTGCATTGCACTCAGAGCCTACTGTCCCGAAAATCAGAACCAGGTGCTAGTAAGAGAAACTTTCTGTCTGGAGCTTCTAAACAAAAGCTCCATATATGAATAATTTATGGTTTCCACAGAAAGGGTTTATAGTATAATCTCATAAGGGCTTCACTAGTGATATAAAAGGATAGGCAAGTCTCATTTCATAAAGTACATTGTCCCCTTTGTTTGCTGAGTCAGTGAGTGGCTGAATCTGTGTGAGGAAAATACAGACCCTCTCACTTTACTTCACTGGCACCTGTTTCACTTTTTCATTGGAACCGTGTACACACACTTGCACACATACACACTATCTTTTAGGATTAAACACGGTTCTGGATCTTGCCCCGCAGTTCAAGATCAAAATGTATGTTGAGTTTGAGGTTCATGTTGGAACTTCCGATGGAAAAGAAGGTAGAGCACACCTCCTTCTCAGTCAGCGTAGGTTACGGTGGTCCGAAGCTGCCCGTAGAGTCCTAGAGCACAACCTGTCTCTAATGCCCTTTCTCGTGTTGAGGAACTTGGGCTGCATTGAGGAGCATTATGGAAATGCATATAAGTAAATCTAATGTGGAGGTACAGCCAGCAGATCAAGTGGAGCATTGCATACTAGGACTGGTAGCCTGTATGGGTGTCACCTCCTTATTAAAGATGACAGCTGCAATATGTTCCTCTGGGAAAATCTGGGGACTCTACTGTACTTTAGTAGTGTTGGGGTGCTCTTCAGAAGTCATCACCAATTGACTTTGGAAGGTCTATTCGCTGGTACGTTGGGGAACAGGGACTGTTCCTCTGGAGGAGCAGCCTGTGAAGAATATTAGGGTCTTGTGCACCATTAGGGAGGCCATGCAGTCACAGCTATGAACTTCAAACTCACCACCCACCTCGCTTCATTCAGGACAGCACCATTTCCCCTGATGCATGACCATCCCTTCCTGTGTTTCACCAAGTGCCAACCAATGTGCTTCAGTGTCCTATTCCAATGCAGACAGTACAAGGGGCAGGTTTGGCTGCGCAGGGTAAAGGGTTGGGTGTTGTAGACCTGTTGTGGTTCATCTAAAAGCTGTTATACTGCCTAAAACTGTGAAATGCCTGAAATCTTATGATTGTACTCGAAGACAGCTGGTATTTAACATCGTTCTAGCCCCTGCTGGCCACTCTCCAGAGAAGTTGGGCGAAAGCAGCTTTAAAATTTGTTTGACACAAAGAACCAAATGTATGGTATAATGCAAACGGATCCCCAAATTAAGGCTGAAATATATTGGGCTGTGTGGTATAAACTGGGTCTAAGTGTTTCCTTAACTGCCTTGAACTGAGTTATTGGTCATTTGAGAGGAGAAAACAATCTTGGTCTTAACTCTGAATTTCTTGGCTCTTGTGGTTTTTAAGTTGGAGCTTAATGCAGTTGTTTTGGAGAGGGTGAATATTCCTGTTTGTGCTAGCTTATAAAGACAAATGTGGAAGAGTTTAGTCTCTGTGGATGTCTGGGGAAATCTAGACATAAGATTGTTCCAGTGAAATCACTGGATCTGAAACTTTGGGCATATAATTATCAGAGGCTGACTGCACAAGTCTCCTGGCTGTAGACAATCTTAAGTTTTTCTCTAGGCGTTTGCAGCAGGCTCATCACTTGTGCCTGAACACCTTTCTTAAATGGAAGGCTGCAGCCCACCTTGGGGATTAGATGTCTGTTTCACTTCCTAGCTGGGCTTACACTTCACAGACTGTCCCTCTCTAGACAAGATCTTTCTTGAGACCTAAATACTTTGCAGTGGGTCTTGGGCCCTATATAGATTTTGCTTCCTCCTTTGCTGGTGGAGGTATCTGCTTCCATCTATGCCAGTTGCATGATAAGTCCCTGATAGCTACATGACTTTCCTGTTTTTAAAAAAACTTTCATTCCAGAAGAGCTTAAAGCAGCGCCTGGGTAAAAGTAACATCCAGGCACGATTAGGCCGGCCAGCAGGACCCCTGGCTCGTGGAGCTGTTGGCGGACGAGGGCTACCTATGGGTCAGAGAGGTTTGCCACGAGGAGCCATGCGTGGTGGACGTGGAGCGAGGGCGTTGCTGAGAGGAGGCATTCCCCTCAGAGGTGAGTATATTGTTAATATGGGAAATAAAATATCCCTGGGGGTGGATATTCAATGACTTCTTGCTAAGTTTGACAGCTAGCTTCTTGTTTTGATTACCTACTTGACTTTTTTACCTCACCCCATTAAAGGTCAGAGTTTACTTCGGGGAGGACGTGGTGTATCCCCTAGGATGGGCCTGAGAAGAGGTGGCGTTCGAGGTCGTGGTGGACCTGGGAGAGGTGGTCTAGGCAGAGGAGCCATGGGTCGTGGAGGAATTGGTGGCAGAGGTTAGTGTGCTGACATTTGGGAAGGCATGAGGACATTGTTTAGAGAAGAATCTGAAGCAGCCTTTAGCTTTCACCTTCTTGGTTAAAATATAACGTATATTAGCACCTGTGAAGTAGAATCTCCACCATAAAGATACACTTGTTTGATACTAGGCTGTACACTGGATACAAACACATTATATTTTCATTTTCTGAACTGTTGGTTTTAGCAGCATTTGAGCTGGAAGGCAAGATCCTAGTTGGTGTCACTGCTTCCCAGAGGGTTTTGGATAGTGGTGGTGAAACTGACCAGAGTCTTGTCAGTGTCACGCTCCTCCTAGGTGAGGCTTTGAGTAGTGGCAGAGGCACTGGTGCAATTTCTGTACAAACGACTCTGCATTGTTTAACTTTCCAAAGGGAATGAAGTGTAACCTTCACAACCATATAGTGCTAGAGAAACATTCCTTAAATGAAAGTCTAAATTATGCAGAAACTGAGGGCTTAGGCCTCCAGCCTCAACAGGGAAGTGTCCTACTTGCTGCTTAAGTGGAATTGTTTCAGGCCCTGGTTGTATTAGTTCACTGGGAGTTTGAAACGGAATCTGTTTCTTAAATACTCAATCCTTTTCATAGTGCAAAGTATTCAATTACGACAGTCCCCAAACGGGACTGGCACTGGAACAAATGTAGGTTGCAATGGCAGCTGACCTAGTGGAATCATTAATGCCCAAACTAGGGAATTCTCAAATGGGACATCCCAGCAGTCAGAGCTCACTGAGCCACATGTTGTGGCGTTTTATTTTAGCAAAAGGCCCATTGGTTTCTTTGCAGCACCTGTGTTCCTAGATGCTGTGGCAAATGGCAGGTAAGAACCTACAACTTCCTTGCTTTTGTGAATTAATATTGGAGATTAAACATGATTTCCTAGTCTTCCTTGTAGAATGACATTAATTTAGTCCTAGTGGGTTCTAATGCCGAAACAGGTCCCTCAGAACTAGTTTGACACCAAATGTAAATTTGGTGGGATATGTATCGAGCAAGCTTATTCCTAAATTGTTAATGGCATTGCTGCTTTCTCTAAAGCTTGGTAGGAAGGGTGGTGGGGAATAAATGCTAATTATACTTGGCTAGTAACTGTCTAATGCATCAAGGCACTAATGTATGTTAGGGATTAATGCCAGGCTAAAATGGTACCAAGCAATGTAAAGTGTACCATAGGGCTACCTTCTGGACCCTGCCTTTTGATGCTGATGAGCACGCACAGCCCTGTACGAGACTGCGACTTCAAAAGCCATCTCAGTCAGTGGAGTCTTCACTACTTTTAAAAGTAGACAGTAAGCAAAGTACATGCCCTGTATGGAGTTACAGCACTGTATGGGCTGCCACTGTCTCCCGGAGGGACACGGGCTCATTAGTGCTTTGATATGTAACAGGTATACAAAAAATAGTCCACACCAACTGTGGCTCAGCTGCAAAAACCGTTCTTTGTTAAAAGTCTCGCTCAATAATTCTAAATTACTGGCATTGCGATAGCAGGGTCTGCTGCAACACTCGATTAGTTATACTTGTTCAAAGGAGAAAACTTCCTGTTTAATGTGACAAATAGTTTGTAACTTGCCCACAAGTAGGAAGTCATTGGTTCTCATACTACGTAAAGTAGACATGTGTATTTAGAGTGCAGTAAACATATGTGGTGCTTTACAAAATGGGTTTAAATAAAAGGTCTCCACTCCCAAGAGTTTGGTGTGATTTAGATAAACTTGCTCAGGGAAACATGAGAAGGAGTCAGAGATGTAGGAAGGATCATGAAAGTGGGTTTAAAGGAGGAAAAGAGGGTGCTTGTCACACCGGAGGAAGGAAAATATCCCATGCACAAGGTTGGGGGCAGCGTGGGAGGTAATAGGATATGGAAGAGTATAATGAGCAGCTGAGGTTGAAGGATGAACTGAGAGCAGAGATACTGTGGGGAGACAGTTGTCCAGAGATTTGAACAGACATTTGATGCACAAGGAGAGAGACAACCAGGGGAGTGACTTGGCTGAGGGGCTGATCTGGTCAGTAGCAGAAGTGGCACCGTTGGCCACCAGCCTGTCTCCACCTTGCATGTGGCTCTCTTGCATACCACGTAGTGTACAATGTGTCACTCGGTGGTCTCTACACTGAGCATTGTTATGTACCTGAGTGGCTTCTTCAGTGGACTGCCCACCCAACTGTTGCCTTGCCTAGGTAGTATGGGGTGGCGAGTCGAGGGCACACGGGCAGCTGTAGCTAAATTCTCACTGGTGGGATTAGGTCAGTTCCTTAATATTTGTTGCTGTCTCTGTCCGAGTCTGGCGGTGCATTCCAGTGTGGCATGTAACTGTAATCTCGTTTCACTGTAAGGTCGTGGCATGGCCGGCCGGGGAAGAGGGGGCTTCGGTGGTCGTGGCAGAGGCAGAGGACGAGGAAGAGGGTCTGCACGTCCTGCATTGACCAAGGAACAACTGGACAACCAATTAGATGCTTACATGTCTAAAACAAAAGGACACCTCGATGCTGAGCTGGATGCTTACATGGCTCAGACAGATCCAGAAACTAATGACTGAAGGTCCTTCTGATAGACTCTCATTGAAGTTAATGTGTATGTCAATGCCCATAAGCTAAAAATGGAAAAACCTGATTCATGCTGGAAGGACCTGCAGGAACAGGGGTGGCCCTGTTCTACCAAGAGATCAGATTTTAGTGTGTTCCTCTTACATTTTGATACTATATGTTGTATGAAACCTTTTTTGGATTGTTTTTTATAATTTTTCCTAACTACTCTGAACATGAATGTGACAAACGAGCTGCAGATACAGCCACTGACACCAGCGCTGGTGTGTGCTCAGCACGCCAGCCCGGCTGCGATGGCACACTAAGTTCCTTCGTGCTTATGAAGAGGAAATGCTGCATGTATGCCACAATCTGTGCTTCTTTAGGTGAAGTGCACATTGGTGCCGAACACAAGCTGTGGGATCACTTGGTTATATGTGCCTGTTACTCTTAATGGTTTGTTTCAGGATAGGAGTTGATCCCATAGTGTGGCTAAAGGGTAAATCTCCACATTTGCAGTTTTATTGTTGCAATAACTCATTTGAAGTAAACATACCAAAACGGCTCCCTCCAGGACTGCCTAATCAATCAAATTCAGGTTAAGGAAGATAGACATGTCAATCTTTTATTTTGTACCAAAAGTTCATCCCCACTGATTGCTAGCATTCGAATGGGAGTACAGAGAGGATTTTCCACGTTAAAGGCTATTTTTCAGATAAAATTTGAATTTATTTTGTATCATGTTTGAAGGGATGGCACTAATGGCTTCTGTGTACCAAAATCTAGAAAAAGAACTAGCTTTTGTTTTAAGGCTCTTGAAACAAGCACGTTAATGACGTCTGAAAGAAAATCATGGGTAGAATAGTCTCCAAAATACTGGGTCCAAAATTGGTTTTATCAACAAGTGCTGTTACCTTTCAGTGTAACCAAAACTGAATTTTCAATCCAGACCAACTTTGGTGGCTTCTGTGGTGCATTTAACCTAGGTTGGCTTTAGAAGTTGAGAAGGGGTTTGCTTTCCTCCCTACCCCACCCCCCGAAGATTTAAGTTCAACCATCCTGTGAACTGTTCCAGTTTCAATGGAATCTTGTATTTCTCGTTCGTTGTGACAAAGGAGAAACAATTATAAAAACAATATGTGGACTTTGTGGATTTTTTAAATGGTATTCTCAAGCATTAATTGTTGATCGTAAACTCTGTGGGATGAATAACTTTTCTAGTGGGTATGAGAAGACAGTAAACTATCATCCTCTCCTGAATGGAACATCACAACTATGGTTAGAAAACGTTCTAGGTTAGAACACATTCCTAATAGAGCTTCCTCTCCACTGGCTGGCAATCCATTATAGCTGGAATTTCATCTAAATCCCCAGTTCTCATGGTGTAGATTGGAGGGTGGGGGAGGGCCTGGTCCTCACTGCCTCCAAACCTTTGTTATGCATGCTACTGCTTATCAAGGGCTCCCAGCGAATTTGTACAGGGCGTCCTCGATGTTTGACTTACGAGACAAATGGCACTTACGACGTTTCTGAACTGACACCCTGATTCAATTTACGGCAATTGGTTTCGACTGTCCGATGCTCGGTCCCGCAATGGAGTGGATTGCGGTTACAATGTTTCAACTTACTACACAATTTTCCTAAGTCCAAGGACTGCCTGTATACCAGTTCAAAGAAGGAAACTGACATTTCTCTTCAGCTTTCCTTGATTATCTCAGTGTGTCTGGCTGTGATAACTACTATAGTATGCAAGGGCATTCAGACTGCCAACTACTTTTTCACACGCATTCATGCTGTGATGTAACTTCGCGTTTGCACTTTCAACAAGGATCTGCTTTACTAAACTACTACACGTGTGGCCAGTACAGATTTCAATACTGCTCTAGGATGTTTCTTCTCTAACCTCCAGTTAGTCCTGTGACATCTTCCCCTTGAAAATACTGTCCCTATAACTCTTGCTGACAGTGCTTTAAGGTTGCCAGTTGAAGGTATCATATCATTTTTAAACAAGTATCTTAATTGTTCATTAAAGGGACACTTGAGGTGCTAACACAGCCCCCGACACGTACGTTGTGTTAAATTTTTCTAATATATTACTAGAAATATTAAATTAAAAAAACCCCTCCTTTTGCGTGGCAGAGACTGCAGGAGAGGGTTAGGTGCAAACATCATAGCACGATGCTGCTTCAGGAATGGGCATATTATGAAACCTAAAAGGTTCAATTGACTGGGTTACAAGAAGGGGGACACTATAAACAAGACATCAAACTCTTTACTGTGGTCTATTTGCTGTACTGCGTCCAGTTCAGTCTTGCTGTTTGAACAGAAAAATGTTTGCCTTGTTCCCTTAAATTATTTGACCACCCAGCTGAACTACTCCCTGAACAGAAAGGAGCATAGGATTCAGAACACCAATACCGTGCATGAAAAGCAGGCCCTGGCACTACCCAGGATCTCTGCACGTCCCCTAAATTTAAACATTGAAATGCTCAACGCTGAATGAGCTTGCCTGATTTATTCCAGGCACTAGGTGCTGCTGCAGCGCTGTCAGCCATGTTACATGTAAGAAGGCTTCTCAAAGCTTGTTCCAGCCAAATTTTCCCCACATCTCTTACTTTCCGAACAATGTTTGTTTCATGGTGGATGGAGTTCATAAGACACACATCATCCTCCCCCTTCCAAATCTGTGTCACACCAGTGCCTTCAAACTGATAGAGTAAATTCACCTACCTGAAGCTAACGAGACTTTACTGCATATTTTTAGTTTTCTTTTGAGAGGGCTGGAAGTGAGTAGCTTGGGGGAGGGGGTGGGTTTCGTTTGGCAGGGAAAAGGGCTTGCTAATGGGCTATGGAGCCTCTGGGTCTATGTACAAAGATTCTGCTGCGTACTTCCAACCACATACGGGTCTGTCTAGGAGCCTGGCAGTCTTAAGAGGGCCCGCAAAGAAGCAATAGGCATGGGGACTTAGTTATCCTGGACCTGCCACTCCTCTTGTTCTGGGGATCAGGTTGGCTCACAGGGATGCAGCTCTCATCAGCTCTGGCATTTTTTATTTAAAAACAAAAAAGTGAAGCGGGTCCTGCCAGCAGGGCCTAGCTGTCACTGTGTGAACACCACTCCCAGCAGGGGCCAGGAGTGTAGAGGAACAGCCGTAACTGAGGAACGGCCTGTGGTGCCTAGGAAAGCTGGTGGGTATGGCCCATTGTGCCTTTACTTCTGCATCAGCCTGCATATTGGTCCCTTGCTGCTATAGGGCCGTGTGTGGCATGCCCTCAGCTCTCCCCAGGTGAACTAGAAACAACCACACAGCTTAGCCTGAGCCCTCACACTAGCCTGGATCAGACCCATGGTCCACCTAGTCCTGTATCCCATCTGACAGTGGCCAGTCCCAGCTCCTGCAGAGGAAAGGTGCAAGATGACCCAGTAAGGGGATAACCTGCCCCTGGGACACTTCCATCCTAACACCCAATAGTTACAGGCTTAGAGGCCAGGAGGGTTCTAGGAACAAGGATTTTTAGGGTCCCTCCAAACACACGTGAGAAGCCCTGCTGAGCTCCGTGGGACCACTCATGCATGAGACATGTCAGTAGGGGCTCAGGGTGCGTCCACAGCAGGAAAACAATTCTTACCAGGGCTTAGTTTCACATGTGGTCAAATCCTAGTGAAGACAAGGCAGCTTGTCGTTTTCACCAGCATTAGCAAGGTAAGGTAAACACGAGTGACAGCCTAACATTTACCTTGAGCTGCTAACGTGTTAAATTTACAATGCCCTGTCTTCGCTTGGCTTTTACCTCTGTATAACTACCACAGGGGAGGAACATCCTTTTCTGCCTCAGGAAGACCAGGACTTAGGCCTGATCTGAAGTTCTCCCACCATAGGCATGGGAGATAGGCGTGTGATTGTTTTACTGACCTAGCTCTGCTGGTGGAAGCCCTAGCCCGGTGCTGTTAAACACGTGTTACTGTGCTGTGCAGAGAGAAGCACGTTTAGACAGATGTAACTGCAGCAAAACCTTCCAGTGTGGCAGTATAACTACCAGTGACACCCCCCCAAGTGTAGACAGACAGGCCTGAGTCTATAACTCTGCCCTTGTCTCACTGCTCTGAACTATTGGCAGCACAAGTTGCCTGGTGAAAATAAAGTGTCAACAATCTAAGTGGACAAGCTGAAACTCCAGAAGGGGATAGCGCTGGCCACCACCCCCTGGGGCTCCCTGCTGCTCTCCCTTCCCCTCTCAGCCTTTTGGGTCGAAATCTGGACTAAAACCCACTGTTGTTAAGGTCCCTCTGGTCTGCTGCGGTTTTGGAGGAGCCCAGGCGTTGCCAGCTCTGTCGGGAGCAAGGAGGGGGCTGCATGAAGGCCGTTCCTGGCTCTGGGGCCAGGTGGAAAGGCGAGCAGAAGGCACTAGAGCGAGGCAGCTACAAACTACCACTTTCCCCCATCGTTCGGCAAGTGGCCCCTCTCCTGATCTGGGTCCCCTGGCCTCAGTCCCCTCCAGTGCAGCCTTAGGTGGCTCTCTGCAACCCTGTCCCAGATGCTGGGTCTCTTTCCCCCCTACCCCCAGGCCTGCTGCATGCCCCCTGCCCAGCTCCAGAGACTGGGTCCCCCCCCCCAGCCCTGCTGCTAGCCCCACTTCAGCCAGAGGCATCTGCTCTCTGGGCCCCTCCAGCTGCCCGCCCCCTGCAGCCCCCCCGGGGCCCAGCCCGGCGTGGGGCGGGCTGAGAAATGTGTCAGTCTGGGGAGCTGGCAGCAGCCCCGGCTCGCTATGGTAGCTGTGTCCCTATTGGCCGGGCGCCGGCCGACCGCCCGTCACGGCGCCTCCCATTGGCTGCCGGGCTCCAGCGCCTCACGCGCTCCGGCTACTCCTTTTGTTATTGTAGCGAACAAGTTGCGAAGCGGGGCCGGGCCGGGGGCGCAGCCGGGGGGATGCGGCGGGCGCCGGGGCCGGCGTGAGGCGAGACGGGGCGGCGGTGAGTACCCGGCCCGGCCCGGCCCGGCTCGGCTCGGCTCGGCTCGGCCCAGCGCCCGACAGCCCCCCGGGCAGGGCCCCCCCAGATCTACCCCCCGGGCAGGGCCCCCCCAGATCTACCCCCCCTGAGCAGGGACCTCCTACCCCCCGGGC